CCCTGGGCTATTGCTCTTTGTAGATTTCGAAAAAGCCTTTGATTCGCTTGAATGGTCTTTTATTGAGCGCACGCTCCAGCACTTTGGTTTCGGCTCTTCTTTGATAACCTGGTTTCTAACATTTTACAAGAACATCGAAAGCTGTGTCCTAAACAATGGCTGGACGAGTTGTTTTTTTCAACCACAAAGAGGTGTTAGGCAAGGTTGCCCTCTTTCGCCATACCTATCCATACTATCAGCTGAAATTTTAGCTAAAGCAACCAGATCGAACAAGAATATTAAAGGAATATCTGTAAACAACTCGGAAATTAAAATTAGCCAGTATGCAGATGACACAACTTTCATTCGTAACGGTACTAGAGATTCATTATCCGCCACACTTAAGATGATCGAGACTTTTAGCAGTATGTCTGGTCTCAGACTCAACGGTAAAAAAACTGAAGCTCTATGGATTGGATCAATGGCAGGAAATAAGGAAAAACTTCTTCCCGAGAAGAATTTTAAATGGCCAGAAAACAAAGTTAACGTCCTTGGTGTTTGGCTTTCTACCGATCCTGATATCACATTAAGCTTAAACTACAGGGAAAAAGCGGACAAAATTAAAAACATATTAAGCAATTGGAAATATAGGCGGCTAACGTTACTCGGCAAAATCCAAGTTATTAAAAGCTTAGCGGCATCTCAACTTACGTATATTTTAGCTCTGCTGCCGACAAATCATGAAATTATCAAAGAAATAAATGATCTTTTCTTCAGCTTTCTTTGGAACAATAAGTGCGATAAGATTAAGCGAAGTGTCATGACAAACGACCATAACAATGGAGGGTTAAAAATGATTGACATCGCTTCATTTACCAAATTGCTCAAGACTGTTTGGATCAAAAAATACCTTGACGACTCTAACCGCGGAAAATGGAAATACTTTTTTGAAGTAGAACTTAAGAAGTACGGCGGCAAACTAGTCTTCTCATGTAATTTACACAAACGTGACATTTCAAAGTCGATATCGGTCCAAGACCCATTTCTACAAGAAATTTTAGAAATATGGTCAGAAATTAATTTTGATGCTAAAATCAAAACCGAGCAGCAATTCCTTGAACAACATATATGGCATAATTCGCTGATTAGGATCGAAAACAGACCGGTCTTCTACAAACATCTTTTCCTGCATGGAATCACTAAGGTAGCCCACTTAATGACAGACTCGCGGAATTTTCTTCCCCTAGCAGATTTTATCAGCACTTACAAAATACAAATACAACCCATAAAGTACTTCGGCTTAATTTCTGCCCTTCGACACCGTTATAAGACTAACTTTCTTAGTAAAGAACCTAGTAGCACAGACATTCCCAATACCTCCCCTGTGACCTTCTCCGAGACTTTTTTCAAGAACGAAAAAGTGAACAGAGTTTAAGAGCCAAGAGAAATGGAATGACAGCATTAAATCCGACCAAAGATGCTCTGCTGACTGGACCAGTGCCTATTGTCTGGCAGCTAGGAGCACAAAAAGCACAAAACTTGTAAACTTTCAATTTAGATTCCTTCACCGAATTTTACCAACGAACCTTTTCCTAACAAATATCGATATAAAGCAGGACCCGAACTGCTCTTTCTGTACCATCCATCCCGAAAACCTAATCCACCTCTTCTATAACTGTACAATAGTAGCCACCTTTTGGGAAAATTTGACTGAAAAACTAAAGCAGATCAATCTAATAACGATAGATTATCCAAAATACACTGCTGTATATCTGGGCCTGAAACCAGACACCTCCAAGTTTTCACTTCAACTAAGTTTCTGCTTTCTCCTGGCAAGATATTATATATGGAGCTGCAGGGTCAACCAGAAAATTCCGAATTTAACAACTTTTCTTATGTCCCTTAAATCGCAGTTTTACACAGAGTCCAAGAACATTGATGCAACTTCTAAGAAATGGGATCCTTTACGTCCACTTCTCAACATTACATAGCTTTTGGTAAAATAAAAGCTTTCCTATTTATCCATTTTCTGTAAATGAACCAAGGCCAAAGTGCAATTGAGAGCTAGACATACCGCCAATATTTCTTAATTAAAGTATCTATTTCACAAATCTTGCCGCACTGTTTATTAATCATCTTATTAATCATCTAATTATGCATATTTATGATTTATTATTAATATTAGCAATTGTTGTCAATGTTATCTCAAGTAGTTATTGCTAAAAACCGTTTTAGGCAGAGGAGTCGCCTTTTTTCTTTCTTTTCTTTTCTTTTCATTTATTTATTGTCTTTAGTAGTCCTTTTGTTTGCTGTAAACTAGTTTTAGGTATTTTAATGTAAGTAACTAGCAAACAAGTAAGTAGTAAAGCTGTAACGTAAGTAAATTTTGTACTCTTGTTGTAAGTAAGTACCGTGTAGCTGTATTGTAAGTGAATGCCAAGTGTGATTATAAAATAAAATAAAATAAAAAATATATATATTTGAAGATGAAGGTGTCGAGAGTGGAGTGCTTAGTGCAGTGTTTGTTGAAGCTGAGGGTGAAGCCGTTGTAATGGGTGTACTTGGTGCAGTGTCTGTCTGTAGCCGAAAGGAAGGTGCTGTTGAAGCTGAGGGCGAAGGTGTCCAGATCGGAGTGCTTGGTGCAGTGTCTGTCTGTATTACAGTTAGTGCTGAGGGTGAAGGCGTTGAACAAGGTGTGCTTTGTGCAGTGACTGTCGTATTGGAGTTGTAGCACTGCCTTTAGCCTTTTTTGCCCTCTTTGCTTTGTAGTCTTTGTAGGCATCTGGCTTGAGCTAAAAAACAATAACATGTCGAAAGAACTGCAGCAAATATAAAATAATATATATGCGGTAGTACACTGCAGATTACAGAATCAATCAAGCTAAGAAATAGATATGTTTGCACTCCACAAGAGTTCTCTTAGGGGACGCATCACATTTCTGTTTACTATTTACATATTGTGAAGGGTTAAAATTGAAGTGTGACAGATATTCCTCAATGGCTTTTAATTTTAGAAATAATTCAGCAAATAGGCTTACTTTGAAAGTATCTTTGGTTCTGAAATAATATTCAAATTTAACATGTGATAAGCGCTGCATGAAACCGTCACAAAGTTGTTCGTGTGTGCTAGAACAGACACGGAGTGAAGCATTTTCAACTTCCATGCTCAATATCCAGAAGTCAAAATTTCACAGCGTAAATTTGAACAGTTGAAGTCCTACTTTGTGAAAGCAGCAAGAGAAAGGGACAGACGATCCTGCTTATGTAGAAAACACGAGGAAGCAAGGCTGGTCTTTAATGTTAAGTTCAGAAAGAATTTGTTAAAAGAGGCTGTTAATGCTGACAATCCACCTCTTCCAATGTCCCTCAGTAAGGCTGTAGAGATGACCTTATGTCCGAAGCCCGAAGGAAGTGAGTTCCACAAGTTTGGTTGCGTAAACCAAACATGTGACAACTGTGGGACACCTCTTTCGGCTTTTACCAGAGGAAAGGTCTGGAAGTGAATTAGTCAAGTGGAAATGCTATGACTACGTGGCCACTGGAAAGCTGACCTCTTCTGGGGATCAACAGAAGAATATTACCCTTGTACAACAGGAAACAGCACCAAAGGAACTGTTCCAGTACTTCATTAAGCTGCTAGAAGCTTATCCTCTCCACCAGTTCATGTCTGTTTGGCAGAAAAAGCAGCTTGATGATCTACTGGAAAATTTACCTCTCGGGTATGTAGTTCGTATTCATGACTACTCTGAGAGCTATTCCTGCAGAGGCCAAAAGGAAATGCAGTCCCAATATTTCGATGTAAACAAGACAAGCCTCCATATCACTGTTATGTAACGCCATGCAACTATGGATGCTGATGGAAAGGAAAGTACCGCTGAGGATCCATGTGTCCTCAAGCACCATGTTTTCGTGATCAGCGACAACCGAGTGCAGGATTTCGACTCTGTGCATCATGCACAGAGGCTCATAGCAAAATACCTTAGCCAAGATCTTAAGGTAGCTGTTAAGAAAATGCACGAGTTCACAGATGGCTGCGCTGCACAATACAAGTCAAGGTACTGCACTGGGAACCTGTCCTGCTGTGTAGCCGATTTTGGTTTTCCGATTCAGCGTAACTATTTCAAGACATCCCATGCGAAAGGAGAACAGGATGCTGCAGGCTCCCACGTAAAACAACAAGGTACACTTGCTGTTACTCTTGGTTTTCACCCACGTGACCTGTAAATTGACCACGTGCAGTGTTCGCCATATTGGTGCCCCTGACATGTAAACAAAGCTGACTCGAAGAGACGCGCGACTGGAGAAGGACCTAGATGTAACAATGGTTATGTGTATTGTTGTAAGCTGTGCGAGCAAAAAAAGCGATACAGCAAAAGGAGTTGGTATGTTTCAGATACCTTCGGTTATTTATAATCAAGGTGAAGAAACGAAGGAACTAACGAGAATGAGGCGCGAGAGGTGGATTTCTGCGATTAGCAGAGACGATGTGAAATACAAGGACATCTTCAAGAGTGAAAGAGTTTGTGGCCACCACTTCGTGTCTGGGAAACCTTCCCAGTGCTGCAATAAGCACAACGTCGATTGGGCTCTGAGTTTAAACCTTGGCAAAAAGAGATACAGAGAATAAAGCTCCTAGGCGGCGACTGAACGGGCTGAAAGAGCAAAAGCTCAAGGAAGAGTGCCTTAGAACAACAGCAACTCGAGGCGGCGAAGAAAATGACACTTCTGAATGAAAGCGGTCCATGGGTTGTGGATAGAAATTTTTCCAGCGATTCAGCAAGTACCTCGGGAGATGTTGAAGCGATGGAACTTGCGATGAAGATGCTCCAGTTGTTTGTGCTAACAACGCAGAACAACAAGAAGAAAGTATGGCAACTGGTGTAGAAACACAAACAGAAACATTTGATTATTTATATCGAAAAACTGTCGGATGTGAAGCGCCCAACAAGGACGCTGAAACCCAAACAGAGGCATTCGATTATTTATATCGAGAAACTGGCTGTTTAGAAGCGCCTGACAAG